GCCTCTTTTTTTCATTCTATATAAATTGGGTTTCACTATATGCAATGTTCTATTTCTGATGTCTGACAGTATTTTAAATGTCTAACTTATCTGGACAAAGTACACAGCAAGGATACTACTACTAATATAGAAGAGCCTCCATATCAGAAGAAACCAAAAGCAAGCACTAGACAGTCTTATGCCCCAACAAACTTCTGACTTGAAAGGATGATATCCTGAGCTGCAGAGCAGCTCAAAGCTGTATCAGGAGGTACACAGCTAAAGAAGAATAGACATCCTCATGTGATTAACTAACAACAAGCAGATGAAACAGAATTTAGCAATGAAAAAGAATAATACATACAATGGCATTATAGGGAGTGGAAGGAAGACAGACTCTGAAAAGTGGAATCATACAGTAGATGATTCCATTGCTACAAAATTCTAGAACAGGAAAACTGACAATGTCATAGATCAGCAGTTGCTAGAGACAGAGGAAGGAGGCACTGTAAGAGAACAACACAGTTAGGTAAGGACCATTTTTGGGGTGATAAAGATGTTTTGTACCTTCATAATAGTGGTTACACAGGTACTGTGTATGTGTGTGTATGTGTGTGTTAGTTGCCCAAATACATCAAATTGAAAGTGGAAACAAATTTTAATGTATAATAATTACACCTCAAAAATAAAATACATCAAATTGAAAGTGGAAACAAATTTTAATGTATAATAATTACACCTCAAAAATATTACTTCTAGCTATTAAAACAATAGACCATAGAGCCTGGCAATTTCCCTCTTTGTAGAAAGTAGTCAATATGGCAAGCCATGATGTCTCATACTCATTTCTAAGTCTTCCTAACTCCAACCAAACACACTTGATTTCATCCATTTCATTTTCCTTTGGTCTATGCCCTAACATGTTTACTCTTTGGGGCACCTCTTGATTACTGTGGCCCTGCTTTGCAATTTTATTACTGTTTTATTTTGCAGTAGATGTTTACACAAAAATAAGAGAGCTGGAGAGGAAAGTCTTTCACATATCTGACTGGTCTTGATTTGCCCTGTTCTCAGCCCCTCACTGCTAATCTTTCATCTTTCCAAGAATGCTCGACATCTACATAAATGTGTATGTGTGCACCTGCCTGTTTTTCTCCCAAGTTGCAGCATATTTGATGCACCTTTTATCTTTTGTTCTTTTACCTTGAACATACAAACAACTTGTTTAGATGCACCAATTATCAGTCACTTGTTGATGCACATGCATACTATTTTAGCTAGGAATCTCCGGAAAAACTGGGGCACCGGTGGTGGCTCACGCCTGTAATCCTAGCTACTCAGGAGGCTGAGATTTGATGATCGAGGTTCAAAACGAGCCTGCTCAGGAAAAGTCAGTGAGACTCTTATCCCCAATAAACCACTCAGAAAACTGGAAGTGGCTCAAATGGTAGAGTGCTAGCCTTGAGCTGAAGAGCTGAGGGACAGTGCTAAGGCTCAGAGTTTAAGCCCTACGACCGACAAAAAAGTTACGTTTTTGGTGAAAACTTAACATCATTCACTCATTACTCCTCTTAACATATAGTCCAAATTCTACAGAATCAAGGAATTCTCAACTTTGCTAGTACCACCCAAAGTAAGAGCCTATCCCAATACTGTCCACTATAGCTGTGATGACAGAAACATTCATTGTGTGCTCTCTGTGGTAGCCACCTGAAGTTACTGAGCACCTGAGAAATGTAGAGAGTAAAGTAAGTGAGCCTGGTGAACTGGCACACACCTCTAACCCCAGCACTCAAAAACCTCAGGCAAGAAGATCATGAGTTCAAGGCCAGCCTTGACCTGTCAAGATCCTAGCTCAAAACCTACAAAAAAAAAGAAAATAAAAATAAATATGAGAAATTTTAATTTAATGTTAATCTAAATGTGAACAACCACATGTGCATTAATCACACTGAATAGCAGAGTACCAACACTACGCTTAACTTTAGCTTCCAGGGGCTGGGAAGGTGGCTCAGAGGTAGAGTGATTGCCTTGCAATGCATGAGGCCCTGGGTTCGATTCCCTAGCACCACATAAGCAAAAAGAAAAAAGCCGGAAGTGGCGCTGTGGCTCAAGTGGTAGAGAGCTAGCCTTGAGCTGAAGAGCTGAGGGACAGCACCCAGGCCCAGAGTTCAGGCCCCACACCCGGACCCCCCCCCAAAAAAAACTGTAGCTTCCAATTATTTTTTCTAAAATATTTTTATCCTCTAGGCCTAATCTCAAGGTAATGACAGGGCTATAGAAAGGGTTTTAAGTTTGTAAAGATCCTTAGTTTGGAGAGGAGATAAAATGAGACCAAAAGTATCATAAAAGATCGGTAATTTTTTTCATTATAAACACCCACATGTATATCAACTTTTTAAAAGTCTATATTACTGAACCAAATGCATGTTAAAGAAGATCAGATTATAGTTAATTCAAGACTATAGAGAGGGCTGGGAAGGTGGTTCAGTGGTAGAGCGCTTGCCTTGCATGTTTGAGGCCCTGGGTTCGATTCCTCAGCACCACATAAGCAAAAAGAAAAAAAAAAAGCTAACAAGACTATAGAGAGATCTGAGGATGGCGGTGCAAAGCCAGCCCGGCAGTGAGACACTTATCTTCAATAAACCACCAGAAAACAGGAAGTGGCGCTGTAGCTCAAGTGGTAGAGCACTAGCCTTGAGCTGAAGAGCTGAGGGACAGTGCTCAGGCCCAGAGGTCAAGACCCAACCAAAAAAAAAAAAAAAAGACTATAGACTATGTCAGTACTAGAATGGTTTCCTTTAAAATGTCTACAAACACCAAGAACTAATTTGTGCCACAAATGAACTCCAGGTTTTCCTAATTCAAGGATCAAGGACATCCTGGAACTAGCCTACCACAAGCTGTGGAACTCAACACACTTTACCTCTTTTGAATTAGATTGTTTTAACTTGTTAAGACAGAATCATACTCTGTTAGCATTTAAACACTGTAGACAGAGATAATGACTGTAGCCTACAAACCTAAAAGAGCTGAATACCACTTAAACTCTTGAGTTCAAGGCAAAAACTTCAAGGCTTTAAACTTAACATAGGAAAAAAGTGTCAAAAAAGAATCAAAGCAAGATTTAGTTGAATTTAACACCTTACTTAAAAATTTGAAAATTATGCCAAAGAAACTTCTATTTAAAAAAGTGCTTGAGGGGATGGTGGTATGTGATATGGCTTAGTGGTAAAATACTTGCTTAGCATTTGTGAGGTCATGGGTTCCATCCTCAGCACCAAAGGAAAAAAAAGCAAAAACTTGTTATATAAGTTAGTTAGCATGTCTTTACCTTAAAATTAACATAATCCTAGAAAAGGTATTGGTAAGCCTTGTAAATCCCTCCAGCTTTTATCATTTATCTCCTACTGAAGAAATTTTTTTCTACTTAGAGAATAAGTCAATTTTAAAGTATTTATCATAGTTTTCCTTTTTCTTATTTAATGTGACTTTGACTATATGTACTCAAACCTCTATTTTCCCATATTAGTACTGTTCTAAGTGCTCTAGAACTCCACTGATCTGAGAATTTGGTTCTCACATTTCACATCAGGCTTTAATGGTAGTACTAAAAATAATTCTGAACAAATTCTAGAGACAGTCCAATAAAAAAAAATGAAAGAACTCAGACTAATGTTCCATCATAAATTAAGAATAGGAATTGAGCTAATGGCTCATGCCTGTAATCCTAGCTACTCAGGAGGCTGAGAGCTGAGGATTGCAGCTCAAAGCCAGCCCCAGCAGGAAAGTCCCCGAGACTCTTATCTCCAATAAATCACTCAGAAAACCAGAAATAGTGCTGTGGCTCAAATGGTAGATCCCTCACCTTGAGCTGAAGAGCTGAGGGACAGTGCCCAGGCTCAGAGTTCAAGCCCCACGACCAAGCAAAAAAAAACAAAAAGATTAGGAATTGAAAAAAGTCAAAATCTCATATTTAAGATTATAGATCCTGGGCTGGGAAGGTGGCTCAGTGGTACAGTGCTTGGCTTGCATGCATGAGGCCCTGGGTTCCATTCCTCAGCACCACATAAGAAAAAGCTGGAAGTGGTGCTGTGGCTCAAGTGGTAGAGCACTAGCCTTGAGCTGAAGGGCTGAGGGACAGTGCCCAGGCCCAGAGCTCAGGCCCTACGACTGACCAAAAAAAAAAAAAAAAGATTACAGTCCTTATGACAATTATAGTTCCTTATTTCAATAACATTGTAATGGCAAACTTATCAGAGTTGTACCTTTAGAAACATTCAAATCCCACAATAATCCATTTAAATTTATAGATAGGGAGGGATGGAGGGAGAGAGAGAGAAAAAAGAGAGCCTGGATTTAGTAGAAAATGTTTTTTGTTTTTTTTTTCAAATTAAAATGTTTTATTTAGACTGAAACTTATCACTCTTTTGTAGTTTTAATTCTTCCAAACCCAATTCCCATTCTTTGGTAAACAAGGTATATTTAAAAGATAGAGCCAGAGGAAAAAAGGAAAAGAGAAAACTGATGCCTCCCCACCCTGAAAAATACCTATTTCATGTCAATTATGGATAAGGCATTGATGTCACTTCAGATGAGGGTGTCTCCATTCATTACTGACGTTTTACTTTACCTCTAAGCAATGAAGTTAGATTACAAGTGGTTTTAAATGAAACTACTGGCCAAGTAATGTGTCACTATGGTTGCATTATTTAAACTCTGAAATATGTAGTGAAGTCATAAAGGATAGCAAGTCAAACTATGCATGCTCCCCCTACTGGAGACAGCTTACAAACAGAATGATAATCTCATTACAGCCATGTAAGGAGTTTATCATAAAATGATACATACAAGACCTAGGCCTGTATCCTTAAAGTATATTTGCAAAGACAAATGCACTGGGCCAAGAGTTACACTACTTCCAATGTTATCAGACTCAATTTCAAAACCTCACCTCTTAATAACTTGAATAATCCTTACACCCAGTATTAGCTATGAAGGTCAGATTATGTCTTATTTACCTGTATGGATTGCTTCAAGTCTATAGCAGAAACTGCATCATCTTCTTCATCATCAGTCAACTGGTCTTGGGAACAGTAATGGGTACTGTATGCAGAATGTTCTTCAATTGCTTCCAGCCAGTTCTGAAATAATCCAAGGATTTATATCAAAGTGAAAAACCTTTTTATTGGGCTGGAATGTAGCTCAGTGGCAAAGTGTTTCCCTAGCAAGTGCAACATCCTGGGTTTGATCCCCAGTACCAAAAAAGACAAAAAAAATCTTTTTATTTAAAAAATTAATGTCAACAACTGTAAAGCATAAGATTCACATGGTATAAATATTATCTGTCCCCTCCCCCACAAGCAAGCAACCATAGTGAAAGGACGTGGTCTCTTATCTGTCATAAACATGAAAAAAATTCTCAGTACTTTTAAAAATAACATTTATGAATGTACATATTAATACTCAAACATATTATAAAAATTAAATATTCATGAAAGATTTTAGTTAAAATAAGATTCTCAACACTGATGAATAATTTATTATATAGTAATGGATCCAGGCACATAATTTACTAACTTATAATCAAATGATAAGCATAGAAATTTAGATCATTTTAAGACAGTCAAATTTCCCTGATCCTGTAACTTCCTCAATTTTTTATTTTGTTCTATACCAGGTCTATGGCTTGAAGTTAGTGGGTGTTATCCCTGGGCTTTTTAGCTCAAGGTTGGCACTCTACCACTTGAGCTATAGCTCTACTTCTGACTTTTTGCTGGTTAACTGGAGATAAAGCGTCTCACAGATTTTCTGCATAGGCTGGCTTCAAAACCCCAATCATCAGATCTTAGCATCCCGAGTTTCTACAATTGTAGGTGTGAGCCAACACAGCCTGGATCTTTGTTAAGGCTGAAAGGGGAAAAAAATCTGTTCTTTCACAAAAAGAATGTAACTTCTTCCTCATTAAAAAAATTGTTATTAAAGTGTTGTATAGAGATGCTATCATTTCAAAAATCAGGTAATGAGTACGTTTCTTTTTTTTGGACAATGTCACCCCTTCCTTTGCTTTTCCCCAGTCTCCCTCTCCATCCCTGCCCACAAGTTACATTGGTTATTTTCAACATAGTGTGTACTGAATAGCAGGACTGCATTTGTTCATTCCCCCCGCCCCAGAACAAAAACAACCACAAAAAAAAAAAACACATTTCCATTTCCTGGAGTTTATTTCCATAAACAGTATTTTAAATGTTCAGAGAAGCTATGCCTTTGTGTTCCTCCTCTAAGAAGTATCCCCTTTTGGTCTGACTATGTGTGAATGGCTAGAGTTCTGTATAGGTTATCATGTCATATTTTAGAACTAGCTTCCACATGTGAGAGAAAACATGTTATTTGTCTCTCTGAGCTTGGCTTACCTCACTTATGATTTGTTCTAGGTCCATCCATTTTCTTAAATATGACATATCTTATTCTAATGGATGAGTAAAATTCTATTGTGTATATATACCATATTTTATTGATCCACTCATCCATTGTAGGTCATCTAGGATGTTTCTATAATTTGGCTACTTTACAAATTTATGAAATGCTGTTCGTCATTTGGATTGGTTAAGGTTCTTTGCTGAAAGTCAGCCACTTTGGGAAACAGATTATTTTAAAACTCCTTTTAAAACAAATTAACAGAATCCAGGTCCATGATTATTGCTTTGATTTAAAGTTATATGGATTCTCCATGAAATCACTGTAACTGAATTTTCTTCAAACACATCTCAACTTTCTTGCTTATTTCTGTTGTTCATTAGTTTATAAAAATAAGTAAGTTAAGTCTGTACTGTGATGAGCACCAGAATATCTGGTGCTAGTGTGACTATAAACTACATATCTTGAAAAGTCAGCTCTATAGGTTTCTCATTTACAAAATAGAAGGTAAAATGAATCATTATTTAGCCTTTTTCTAAAGCCAAAATGAGTCCCTCACATTCAAAGAGTCAAAATGAAAAACAAATTGTAAACAGAAAATAACTAAAGATACATGCTGATAAAGATGTACTTGAACTAAGTTATAAGCTAAATTTGAAACACTTCCTATTTTTGCCCATTTAAAAAGCACAATCAAAAAGATCCTAGAGCCAGGCGCTTATGGCTCACATCTGTACTCCTAGCTACTCAGGAGGCTGAGATCTGAGAATCACAGTTCAAAGCCAGCCCAGGCAGGAAAGTCTGTAAGACTCTTATGTCCAATAAGTCACTCAGAAAACTGGAAGGGGTGCTGTGGCTCAAGTGGTAGAGTGCTTGCCTTGAGCTGAAGAGCCCAGTGCCCAGGCCCAGAGTTCAAGCCCCATGACTAACAAAAACAAAAACAAAAAAGATCCTAGAGGCTAATACTGAACCAGTATTTTGATTAAAGTTTGATTAAAGATAAATGAATCGTAAGATTACCTCTCTTGACTGATGAAGTGCATTCTTAGGAACTCGAAAGCCATGAATAGTGTCATCAAAGCATTTGATAAAGAAGAGGCAGCTATCAGAGGATTTCACCTTAGACATAAAGACAAATTCATTCACATAAAAAAGGGTTGACTCTAACCAATGATATTTAAAGTTATACTATGAGTCATATTCAATACAATAAACCAAGAACTAGAAAGAAACATAATATTTGCAGACAAGATTACAGAAAACTCTGAGGAATGTAAAAAATAAGACTAATAAGTAAATTTAGCAAGTGTGCAGGGCATTAGATAAAGTCTATTTAAAAAATTATAACCAGGCCGGGCTGGGTTGGTGGCTCAATGGTAGAGTGCTTGCCTTGCATACATGAGGCCCTGGGTTCAATTCCTCAGCACCACATAAGCCAAAAAAAAAAAAAAAAGCTGGAAGTGGCGCTGTGGCTCAAGTGGTAGAGCGCTAGCCTTGAGCTGAAGAGCTGAGGGACAGCGCCCAGGTCCAGAGTTCAGGCCCCACGACTGGACCCAAAAAAAGAAAAAAAAATTATAGCCAGGTACCAGTGGCTCATATTTGTAATCCTAGCTACTCAGGAAGCTGAAATCTGAGGACTAGGCAGGAAAGTCTGTGACACTCTTATGTGCAATTAACAGCCAAAAACCAGAGGTGGAGCTGTGGCTCACATGGTAGAGCACTAGCCTTCAGCAAAGAAACTCAGAGACAGTACCTAGGCATTGAGTTCAAGCCTCTAGACTGGAACACACACCAAAAAAATTATATATGAAAAAATTATATATACTAGCTGCAAGAAAATTATAGAAAATAAAAATGTCCAAATCCATTTACAAGAGTTTCAAAAAATAATGTATAAAATATGTAAGATTAAGTTTTATAAAATACTACAAAAACATTGTAAAAAGAAATTAAAAGGTATTTCAACAAATGAAGACATACATATACAAATTTAGAGATACCAATATTGCTACATTGGCGTGGAAACCCACAAGTCGATTTACAGCTTCAACATAATCTCAATCAAAACAGGTATTCAGAACACTGAAAACTCACAATATATAAACTGAACTAAATTAGAATTAAGTTAGAAATCAACAAAGAAAATGTGAAACTCACAAATAGTTTGCAATGAAACGATATTCATCTAAGTCCAAAAGCGAAAGAAAAATAAGAAGAAAATCACAAAATACTTTCGGCTGAAATATAAATATAAAATTATATATATATATATATCTTACATAAGTTTTATAAATATAAAAATATATGAGCTATGTCTATGCCTAAAATCTACATGTATTCTGAAGGGTCCACAAACAACAGAAATAATGTTGAAAAAGAAGAATAAAATTGAAGGTCTCACACTTTCTGACTTTGAAGTTAACTAAAAAGCTATTGGCAAATGAACGCTGTGTTTATGATAAATACATAGACCAATGGAGAGAGGGGAAGAGTGTCCATAAATAAACTCTTGCAGTTAAGAACAAATAAAGTATGGCAAGACTATTTAATGGAAAATAACAGGCTTTTCCCAAATCGGATATCCATATGAACCTGTGCTATGTAGCATAAACAAAATTCAACATAGATCACAGCACAGTATCAGAGCTAAACCTAATTTTGTTCAAGAAAACGTAAGTTTCATGACATTAGAGTTGGAAATCATTTCTTAAAACACAAAATGAAAGTAAAAGTGATCTAGAAAGTTTGAACTTCCATTAAAGTTTAAAACTTTTTTGGGGGGGTAGGGGAGGTTCCGGTCGTGGGACCTGAACTCCGGGCCTGGGCTCTGTCCCTCAGCTCTTCAGCTCAAGGCTAGCGCTCTACCACTTGAGCCACAGCACCACTTCCGGCTTTTTTTCTTTTTGCTTATGTGGTGCTTAGGAATCAAACCCAGGGCCTCAGGCATGCAAGGCAAGCGCTCTACCACTGAGCCACCTTCCCAGCCCTAAAACTTCTATACATCAGAATAATTTATCCACAAAGAAAAAAACAGAATAGAAAATTTTAATTTAAATATCTAATAAGGGCCTATTATCTAAAATATACAAAGAATTTCTACAGAGATACCAACAATGTCAGAATAATTAAAAACTGGGTAAAGGGCCGGGCACCAGTGACTCATGCCTATAATCCTAGCTACTCAGGAAGCTAAGATCTGAGGATTTGGGTTCAAAGCCAAAAGAGAGAGACATCTCCAATTAAACACCAAAAAAACCTCAATACCCCCAAAACAAACAAACAAAATCAATAGGAACTGGAGCTGTGACTCAAATGGTAGAGTAGTAAACTTAAGCACAATAGCTCAAGGACAGTGAACTCAAACCCCAGGAATGACACAAAAAGGAGATCTGGGGCAAAGGATTTAGGCATTTCCCCAAGGATGATATAAAATTGGCCAATACAAACAGGCTCTTATTCTAATCATATCTGTTTTCCTCTCCCTCTCTATCTTTCCCTTCTACCACACACACAATATATATATACCTAGAAAAACTAAAAGCTCTGTATATATGCTTTTGTAATCATTCATTTCTCATACAACAATATATGGAGATAAAAGTTTATTTACGCAGGGCACCAGTGGCTCATGTCTGTAATCCTAGCTAGTCAGGAGACTGAGATCTGAGGATCACAGTTCAAAGCCAGCCCGGGCAGGAAAGTCCATGAGACTCTTATCTCCAATAAACCACCAGAAAACCGGAAGGAGCACTGTAACTGAAGTGGTAGAGCACTCGCCTTGAGCTGAAGAGCTGAGGGACAGCGCTCAGGCCCAGAGTTCAAGCTCCAAGACCAACAAAAAAAAAAAAAAGTTTATTTACATATAGTATGTGTATATACACATATTTACATATACAAACAAATAAAATGGATATTCTGTACTTGTTCTTGAATGTTAAATATACAAATATGCTTTCTACACCATTCTAAAAATATTAGAACTTTTTTACACATGACTTGGGGGTTTCACTTTCCCAGTTTGCATAAAGACATGACTTATCTTACCGTGCACACTGCTTGTGTCAAGTGTTTGCATCCCTGGCGATAAACATTATGGATGGCATCAGACCTTTAAATTAAATAGTAAGTTGTCAAACCGAAAGAAATGAGGTAAGTAAAATTTTTTAATAATTCAAAATTAAGATACTGAAATTTAGTAAGGATAATACTTACTGTTTCCTATACCATGAAAGGACTCCATGTTCTAACACTACCCAGAATAATCTCCAGCCAAAAAATCTTGAACTCTAAAAGAAAAATGATTTCCCAAGCTGACACAACTAAATTCAATGACTGATAAAAAAAAGTTCTGAAAGTTCTGAGTCTTTTATCTAGACAGCAGTAGTAAATGTCCAAACATATATAATGAAGCGTAATGAACAAGAATTAGAAACAGGTTCTTATAATGTCCTGTATGCTGTTATTTCGATTTTTGTTTTAGTTTTCTGTGCCCTTTGTCTTGTATAAAAGATTATCTGATCCATAGAAAGTAAAGGGAATCATGAAACAGAAGGACAAATTATGCACTAATGCAACAATGATACTCACTAGACACTATGTTGAAAATGAACTATACAACTTGCGGGGAGGAGAATAGGGAGGAGTAAGCAGGAGAAAATGAGGGAGGAGATAACTTTTAAAAGAAATGTACTTATTACCTTACTTATGTAACTGTAACCCCCTGTTCATCACATTTACAAGATATAAAAAAAACTGACTGAAAAAATTGGACAGTTATTGCCCCTAAGAAGTCTAATACAACCATGTTTGTTGTAGCACTATTCACCATAGCCAAGGTATGGAATCAGCCCAGATGCCCCTTAATGGATGAATGGCTCAACAAAATGTGGTATATATACACAATGGAATTTTACTCATCTGTTAGAAAGAATACTGTAACATTTGTTTTTAAAAAAAGTCGAAGGATTGAAAACATGTTAAATGAAGTAAGGCTCAGATAGAGTAAGGATACATGCTTTTACTTCTATGTGGAAGCTAGATTTAGCTTATAAACTTACAAGTAAATACATTGGGTGGTATGCAAATATATACAAATGTATTAACTGATATATGGTAGATTCAAGGGAGATCTCAAATAGCGTAATTCCTTAGAAAGCCAAAATGAGAGTTCAACAACATAAAACACCAGGAAGCAGGAACTAGAAAGGGGAGGAGAAGGGCCAAGAGAAAAGGAGTTGAAAAATGAAAAAGAGGGGAGAATGCAGTCAAGAATCCAAAGTATATCCTAAAAATTAAGAAGAATAAAGCAAGGGGTAGGTAGGGGAGGGATGGGTGAGAATGTTGAAAGGGATTGATCAAGATATATGGTATTTGTGCACTATTTTTTACAATGATAATTCCTTTGCACAACTAAAAATAATAAGAAAAAAAATCACTTCAACCTACCTTCCAGAGAGGGCCTTCATATCGTTTCAGTGCTTTGTAGATGACCTATTGAAATACATTTCATGAAAAATGCAGGAACACATTTCAAGCATTTAAATTTTTTTCTAGAAAATACTTTATGTCTAATCCATTACTACATACCTTATTACCAACAAGAACATGTTTCATTTCAGCACCCTGGGCAAGATCAAGAGGTTTTTGATCTGTGTGAGATATAAGAGAAAAAGCATAATGGTTTAACTGTCCTATACAACTGATGCTGCAATTGTACCATATTATATCCCTTCATTCTTCTCTCAACTACTCCTTCCCCCACTGCAGAGCTGCCCATCAGAAGCTGCCATCTCCATTTTTATATATTCCTTTTGGTACCTATTAGGCCAGCAACCCAATTTAACAATCTAAACTTGTAGTTCATGTTACTGAAACTTTATATGAACTTACTTTGTTCCAGATAATTAACCCTTTTATCTGAAACTAATAAAAGACTCTTTTATCTAATAAAAGGTTTAATTACCTGGAGCACAATAACTGGTATATACTAGTAATTTTTTTTTTGCCAGTCCTGGAGCTTGAACTCAGGACCTGGGTACTTTGCCTGAGCTTCTTTTACTCAAGGCTAGCACTCTACCACTTGACCCAGAGCGCCACTTTCAGCTTTTTCTATTTTACTGAAGAATTGATCCCAGGGCTTCAGGCATGCTAGATAAGCACTCTACCACTGAGCCACATTCTACTAAGAAATTATCTTCTAAGATTCAATCATCATATTAGACACACTATTTTCAGTGATGAAAAGGACAGGGAAAGGAGTAAAAAGGGAAAAATAAAGGCACAGCAACAAGCACCATTGATTAATGCCTGTAATCCTACCTACTCAGAAAGCCTCGGTCTGAGCACCATGGCTCAAAGCCAGCACAGGCAGGGAAGTCTATGATTATCTTATTTCCAATAAACCATCAAAAAGCAGGAAGTAGAACTGTGGCTCAAATGGTAGAGTGCCAGCTCAAATAAGAAAGCTAAGGAACAATGCCCAGGGCCTGAGTTCAAGCCTCAGTACCATATATACATAGCAAATAATAAATCATGGTATGCTGAGAGCGTTTGCATAAAAGATTACACAAAACATGAGAAGGGACTGATCTAGAAAGCAAGGGACGTTGACAGAAAGGGGAAGGGCATTACAGCAGAGAAATGCTAACACACAGGCCTGAAGAATGAAGAAGTTAATGGACAAGAGATAAAGCCAGGAAGACATACTACATAAGAGCTTTATAAGGGCCAGATGTTTGTAAACTAATACAAAAAGTTCAGGTTTTATTCTAATCATGACAAAGCTACTGAAAGGTTTGGCTAAAAGAGTAAGATCTGACATAATTAAGTCTACTGTAGTCACAAAAAATTCTATAATTGGCCAAATTAGCAACTTCATGATTTTGAGAAATTACATTATTAACAAATAATACCACTGTGCTTATGTTTTTTAATTACTCAACTGAGATACAAATTCACACACCATGCAATTCTCTAACTTGTACAATTAGTTTTCAGTATGTTCCAGAGTTTGACTATCACACTTTTGTTTGCTTTGGGTTTTTTTTATTGGTTGTGGGGCTTGAACTCAGGGCCTAGGTACTGTCCCTGAGTCTTTTTGTGCTCAAGACTAGCATTCTACCACTTGAAAAACAGCTCCACTTCTGGTTTTTGAGTAGTTAACTAGAGATAAGAGTCTCATGGGGACTTTTCTGCCCCGGCTGGCTTTTGAACCATGATCCTCAGATCTCAGCCTTCTGAGTAGCTAGGATTACAGATTACAGGTGTGTGCCACCAGTGCCTGGCTTACATGGTTTGTTGTTGTTGTTATTGCTTTGTTTTTGTTAGTTTTCAGTATGTTCACAGAGTTGTATAACTATCATACTTTTGTTTGTTTTGGTTTTTTTGACTGGTTGTGGGGCTTGAACTCTGGGCCTGGGTGCTGTCCCTCAGCTCTTTAGCTCAAGGCTAGCTCTCTACCACTTGAGCCACAGTGCCACTTCCAGTTTTCTGGTGGTTTGTTGGAGACAAGAGTCTCATGGACTTTCCTGACCAGGCTGGCTTTGAACCTCGATCCTCAGATCTCAGCCTCCTGAGTAGCTAGCATTACAGGCATGAGCCACCAGCACCCTGCACATGTTTGTTTGTTTTTTTTTTAAGAAGCCTTTAGCCAGGCATTAATGGCTCATGCCTGTAATCCCAGCTACTCAGGAGTCTGAGATGTGAGGATCATGGTTCAAAGCCAGTCCAGGCAGGAAAGTTCATGAGACTCATCCCCAAAAACCTATCCAAAGAGGCCAGAAGTGAGCTATAGCTCAAGTGGCCTTGAGCAAAAACTACTCAGTGATAGCTCTAGGCCCTGAGTTCAAGGCACAGGACGGGCACACACGCACGCACACACACACACACACACACACACAAACACACACACACACACACAAAGGAACCCTTTATCTCTGATTCATAAACTCAAGATATTTACAGATGAACAATGTGATAGCTGTACAACTCTGTGAACATACTCAAAACTAGCTGTACAAGTTAAACTAGCAAATTACATGGAGTGAATTTGTGTCTCAGTTGAACAACTAGTAAGCATAAGCAAAGTGGTATTACCTTGTTAAGATTATAGTAATTTCTCAAAATCATGAAGTTGCTAACTTTCCCAATTGTAGACTTTTTTTAAATCACTTCAGCAGACTTAATTAAGTCTTAGTCTTCAATTTCAAACTCTTCAGTGGCTTTCTGTCATGATTAGAATAAAACCCAAACTCCTTATACTAGTTAATTCTATTTTTTAAGCTCTGATCATTTTTACTATGGCATCTTTTTTTTTTTTTGGTCCGGTCATGGGGCCTGAACTCTGGGCCCAGGCGCTGTCCCTCAGCTCTTCAGCTCAAGGCTAGCGCTCTACCACTTGAGCTACAGCGCCACTTCCGGCTTTTTTCTTTTTGCTTATGTGGTGCTGAGGAATCGAACCCAGGACTTCATGCATGCAAGGCAAGCGCTCTACCACTGAGCCACCTTCCCAGCCCCTGGCATCTTTTTTAAAAGGTCATTGTGGCTGCTGGTGAAAAATGGCTTGTAAATGTGGGCAGGAGAAAGTAGACATTAGTTACTAAATGGGGACAACAGTGTAGGTCAAAGACAATGCAACTTAATTTAAAGGTTCTATAGTTTAAAAACAAAAGTTTTTAATATGGAGAGAGGAACAGGGGACTGAGATTTAGACTTCCAGAACTTCTAGATGATGATTTATTTATTTAGTGAGAGAATAAAACTATTTTAAATGTTAACTGAGAAATGTATAAGCAAGTTGAGGTGTTTTATTTTTTACCTAGCACATAGGATAATATAAAGATCTGCCAATTCTTTGGTTTTTTATTCTATTTTACAAAGTACTTGAAACATTTTTGTCAGTTATGAGGATTGAACTCTGGGCCTGAGCTCTTCAGCTACGCCAAAACAATGATAATATGATCTGTTTCACAGAATTCTGCCCTAATACCAAAAATAAATTCTCAGGTCTTGCCAACTTGATGAAATCTAAGAACACAGCTTCATTTCTGGACTTAATGTCTAAAGTGTCTGACATATAATACATACACTTTGAAGTAAATAGCCTCTCTTCCTATATAAGCTTCATTCCAATTTAAAAATTGTTCTACATTTCTTGTCAACCACAACAAAAAAAAGTAAAAAGATGGGAATAATGAAATATGTTAAACTGTATATGATATATATTTGTTGCTTAATGGGAAAAACTCGTTAACAAAAGTGCCATTTCTCTTCAAGTTAATTGATATATGATGTGATTTCAACTAAATCCCAACAGTACTTTCCAAGAACCTAAGAATATTATCTTAAATTCTATCAGGAAGAATAAGCACATTAGATGTCAAAGAAATCCTAAAAAGAAGAGTAGCTGGAAACACCTTATCAGATATTAAAACAATCATTAAAATGCAATACTGGAAGTGAAAGAGACAGATGAGGCAATTGAAAGGCACAGGCACAAAAAAAATAAATTATTAGAATATATGAAAGCCATGACAGACAAAAAAAAAAACTTGCTTTGATTACATGTCCAAAAAGTGTCTATGTGGAACTCATCAATTTTCCTGCTCAAAACTCTCCTCCAGCTACAGTGACAATGGACCAAGCGAATCATCTCTCCCTACACTTGCCCTATTCTATTTAAGCAGCTTTTTTTCTTTCTCAAATATGCAAAGCACTCTGAACTCAGACCTTTTACACGAGCTTCCCATGAATGTTCTTTTGCCAGATCATCAGGGCTTAGTCCCTCACTCAATTTAGCAATGTATTCAAAGCCACTTCAGGAAGGTTTTCCCTTATATCCTTTCTAATGCAACAGGTCCCCTCCAACTTGTATCACTTTTTTTTTTTTTTGGTCGGTCATGGGGCTTGAACTCTTGGCCTGGGCGCTGTCCCTCAGCTCTTTAGCTCATGGCTAGTGCTCTACCAGTTGAGCCACAGTGCCACTTCTGGTTTTCTGGTTAATGTATTGGAGATAAGAGTCTCATGGGCTTTCCGGCCCAGGCTGGCTTTGAACAAGAATCCTCTGATCTCAGCTTCCTCAGTAGCTAGGTTTACAGGCGTGAGCCACCGGTGCCCAGCTAAACTTATATCACTCTTTATCTTTGATCCGATTTTATATCTCTGCACTTTATGTTTGAAGCGCAGAGAATATATCTGCTCATTTTTTAATTCATCATGAGCACCTGAACTAGATGCTCATGAGACTAAGAGGATCGGCTGAACCCAGTATAGCCAATGTAGTAAGACTCCCATCTAAACACATAAACATACATACACAGTCACATACCTATATGTGTGTTATATCTATGTATGCACATATAAACTACAAGAGAGTCGAGCCTGCTGGGCGATTGAGTCTCCAGATTTAAGACAGTTATAAGAGAAAAGAGGCTTAGCATCTGCTAAATGAATATGACTAAAGATAAGCTAAAAGCAGAAAATTAAATAGACTGATTCTTTACCTAAACTTAGAAAAAAATCAGAAGACGACGACAAATAAGTCTTGTTTTAAAAAAAGATAGTGATGAGAGTGATTGTTTCCCAAGTGATTTTCTGAGAAAAAAATTCTATCTATATGAAGTACTATCCAGAAGATGAGAAGCCATGAAAA